CAACGACCGCGCCTGGGCGCCGTACTCCGCCATGTCGACGTGCAACGCCACCTCCCCCCTCATGGCTCTCAAGGCCCTCTCCGGTTTCTGCCCCTCGGCGAGGAGGGGCGCCGCCCTCGTCGCCGTCGGCGCCCGCGATGACGGCCACGAACGCGCCCCTGAGCACGTCGGGCCCCGGCGGGAAGCCGTGGCCACATAGGGGGCGCGGGCGAATATGGCATTCGCAATTGCGGTATTCACAACTGCATATGGTTGGGCCCTTCGCCAAGCAAAATGTAATATCTCTATATATATATATGATATGTATACTTCTCTTTCTCTGTTTCTTTCTTTTTTGTTGTTCTCTCTCTCTCTCTCTCTCTCTCTCTCTTTCTCTCTTCTCTTCTCTCTCTCTCTCTCTCTCTCTCTCTCTCTCTCTCTCTCTCTCTCTCTCTCTTTCTATCTCTCTCTCTTCTCTCTCTTCTCTCTCTCTCAATCTCTCACTCTCTCTCGCTCTCTCTCTCTCTCTCTCTCTCTCTCTCTCTCTCTCTCTCTTGTTCACTCTCTCTCACTCTCTGCTTCTCCCGCTCGCACTCTCACTCTCGCTTTCTCTCTCTCTCTCTCTCTCCCTCTCTCTCCTCCTGTTATTATCTAATCTTTATGTGTTCTCATTCTCTCTTTCTCCGTTTCTCTGACTATAGATTTCTCTTCGCTCTTGCTCATTCTCTCTCTCTCTCTACCTCTGTCTCCCCTTCTCTCTTTCTTTCTTTCTCTCTCTCTCTCTCTGTTTTCACCCGCTCTCTCTCTCTCTCTCTCTCTCACTCTCTCCCACTCTCTCTGTCTCTGTCTCTCTCTTCCCTCTCTCCTCTTTTCTCTCTCTCTCTCTCTCTCTCTCTCTCTCTCTCTCTATCTCTATCTTCTCTCTCTCTCTCTCTCTTCTCTTCTCTCTCTCTCTCTCTCCTCTCCTCTCCTCCCTCTCCTCTCCTCTCCTCTCTCTCTCTCTCTCTCTCTCTCTCTCTCTCTCTCTCTCTCTCTCTCTCTCTCTCTCGTCTCTTCTCTCTCTTTCTCGTCTCTCTCTCTCTCTCTCTCTCTCTCTCTCTCTCTCCTCTCTCTCTCTCTCCTCTCTCTCTCTCTCTCTCTCTCTCTCTCCTCTCTCTCTCTCTCTCTCTCTCTTCTCTTCTCTCTCTCTCTCTCTCTCTCTCTCTCTCTCTCCTCTCTCTCTCTCTCTCTCTCTCTCCCTCCTCCTCTCTCTCTCCCTCTCTCTCTCTCTCTCTCTCTCCTCTCTCTCTCTCTCTCTCTCTCTCTCTATATATCTTCTTCTCTCTCTCTCCCTCACTCTCTCTCTCTCTCTCTCTCTCTCTCTATCTCTCTCTCTCTCATCTCATTCTCATTCTCTCTCTCTCTCTTCTCTCTCTCTCTCTCTCCTCTCTCTTCTCTCTCATTCTCTCATTCTCTCTCTCTCTCTCTCTCTCTCTCTCTCTCTCTCTCTCTCTCTCTCTCATCTCTCTCCTCTCTCTCTCTCTCGTCTCTCTCTCTCTCTCTCTCTCTCTCTCTCTCTCTCTCTCTCTGCTCTCTCTCTCTCTCTCTCTCTCTCTCTCTCTCTCTCTCTCTCTCTCTCTCTCTCTCTCTCTCTCTCTCTCTCTCTCTCTCTCTCTCTCTCTCTCTCTCTCTCTCTCTCTCTCTCTCTCTTCTCGGGCGCGTCTGATCTGACGGCGCCGTTCCGAGGTTACGGCGGCCGCGCCGGGGGGCGGCGGCAGCGCGGGGGGCCGCGGCCCCAGGGATGGCCCGGCAACGTTGACATTCTGAAAGGCAGGCAACGCAACGGGCGCGTCGGCGCACGCGCGGCTCTGGACGGCGGCCAGCGAGGCCACCGGCCGCGACCACGGGGCCGCCTTCGGGCATCTGCCAGGGGCGCGAGCAGCGGGCCGCGCTGGAGTCGGGCTGAGCACGTCGCAGCCGCGGCGGCGGCGGAGACCCGGCGGCTGCGATGGCGACGCCCGAAATGCCGGCGAAAGGCCCAGCGCCCAGCGCGCCGCCGATAGACCCCGAGTCGGCGGCGCCCCCAGCCCTCGCGCAGCCTCATCGGGCGCCCGAGCCCCCGGGGCCAGCCCGAGAGCATTGGGCGCTGAAGTGGAACGCTGCGCCGCAGATGCTGCGCTTCATCGCGGCCCCGTCGCGCCCCTGAAAATTATTCTCGCGGCCCTTGCCTTTGCCGCTGGAGACTTCGCCCCCCCTTTCTGCTGCCCCCGTAGAAGACGCCGTGCGTCGACTTGGTCGTCGGAAAGCTGGGCAAGAAAACTGCACTTTTGAGCCCCCCTGCCTTTGCCTCTACACTTGTTCGCGAACGAATGACCGCGCTATTGGATGAGTATCCCAACTGTTCTGGTGGGTTCGTTCATCCAGGGATAGGCCTCTGAACTGTTCCGATGAATGGTCGATGGCTTCTCCTAGGTCCTAGGTTTTAGCTTGCGTCGGAACTGATTCCACTTGCACAATCGAGCAAAGCTGGCGGGCCATCGGCGCGCGGCCACGCGGCGGCCCGATGCGCGGCCCGCGGCGGCGCCGCGCTCGTCCGAGAGCTGCCGGCGCATGCGAGGGCACTTCCGGCACCCGCGACTTCGAAAACGATTGCAGCCCAAAGGTCAAACCCGTGTGAATGCCAAAATGGTCTGCTGCGCGTGCGTCGTTTCTGTTATCGCGGGCCATGCCCGCGAAGCCTCCGAAGTATGACGGCGAGCGGAAGGCGCTGGCGATGTCGTTGGGCGCGCGTTCCACGATGCGACCGGCACGCCTGAGCACGGTTGTAAGACTGTTAAACTCAGGTTCTGCTGCTGAATATCAGTTGCCGCAGGGCTGGACCAGCACCACGAACTGGCCGGCGGTAGCGCCGACCGCTCTAGGAGCAGCCATACGTGGCCCTGCCTGACATCGCAGCTCCACTGTTGTGCGCTGTTCAGCGCGAAGGAACGCGAGTGGCCTGCAGGCGCGACTCTTCATGAAGTGGTCCGAGCTGGGCGAGGTCCGCGATGGGGTCGGCGACGGCGTTTTCTCAGTGCCCGTTGGCCATTCCTCTTTCTGTCATCTGCGGGAAATTCATGGATCACGTGAGCTCGCGAGCGGCGCCGCCGAGGTTCAGGATGGTGGGTGGCAGCGCACAAATCAATGGTGGGCGCTGCCCATGTCGGTGGCAAATACGCTCCAATCGAGTCGGTCCTGCACCCGCTGACGTAACGGGTAGATTGAGTCCCGTTCGCTTGACCAAGAAAGTGGCTGGCGAGACGTGATGCCGCCCCTGCCACCGCCTCCGCCTTGTTGCCTGGCTCCTCCAATCATCATGCAGCCGAGCCAAAGCAAGGCGATCATGGAGGGGATGATGATGCTGCCCCATAGCGTCAAAATGGAGGCCCTCCTTTGCAACATATCCACTGCGATATGAGCTGCGCAAGCGCCCTGGGGCTCATACCTGCACCCAGACGAACGCCAGCTCAATGTTGGGGACAGCCGTCGCGGAACTGGCAACCTCAATCGGCAGTAAAACGTGGTGAGCAATTATTGGGCGCAGCGTGCCCATTGGAACTCAAGCAGGCACTGTTGCGAACAGCTCGCGTCCGCACGCCCACTTCTGCGGCCCACGGGTCTGTGGCGTGGGAACGTCCCGCTCTCCACAGCAAAAAACCATCGGGACCCAAGAAGCCCACGGCACCGTGGAGGCAAGCAGGATGTTTCTCGGCATGGACCTCCACTATATATAAAGCCGGTTGTGCTCGTTGGAACTTAAGCAAGCCCACTGCTGCGGCCCAGCGCAAGAAGACTGCGCTCCGCGGACCATGCCAGACGGTTGTGCGCGGGAGCCTGGGCGTTGTGGCGCCCGTGCGGGCGGGCGACCCGCAAGCAGCCAACTAAACTGCCGTTCTCCTTGCATCCGCGCTCTCACGGGGACTCGCACGGTCTGGCGTTGGCCTCATCGTGCCTGTCAATGCTCGGGTCGGGCGAAAGGGGGGGATAGCAAAGGGGGGGTTTGAGAATCAGCTCGCGTAGCTGATTTTCCCGGCGCCTCCCAGCGCCGGAGGCGGCTGTGTCTCGAGGAATGGGCCCCTCGGTGGGGCCGAAACCAGCTGCATGCAGCAGATTTCGTAACCCCCCCTTTCCCAATCCCCCCCTTTCGTCCAGCCCGAAATGCCTGGGGCGAATTGCCCACGGGGTTGCAGAACAGCCATAAGCACATGCTGCTCAGGAAATGGGAGATGGCACCAGTGCGGGGCGTGGGGGATATGCGAAGGCGCGTCCATGTCGTACTCTGCGCGTATTCCGTGGATCGCGAGCTGGAATCGCTCCCAATGCCATTGCCAACTAGAACTGCGGGGGTTGGTGGCACCGAGACGGCTGGCATGGCGGCAATAAGACATGTTAGCAGGGCTCTTTTCCTTCTTAGATAACTTGTTGTACGCGCGGGCGCTGAGCCAAACGGAAACAGGGCATCCGATTCGCGTGACAGGTGAGGATTGGAGGACGTCGAAATGGAGGAGGAAGACGAGATGGAGGAGGACCTCCACCTCCTCCATCTCCTCGTCCGCCGCCTTCGCAACCCCTATGTTGCATCTTTGGGGGGCCTCACCTGTCCCATCGCGCCAACCATCCATGTCGCACCCATATCGAATCCGCGTCAAACGCGTCGAATCTGGGTCGAATCCGGGTCGATGCACGTCGGAATCACGCACATCCCGCGTCGAGCCCACGTCGGAGTGCAAGTGAAGACCGCCATCTACGGGACAGGCAAGGTCCCCCGACGACGCAAACAACCCCTACCTCTCGCTCATCACTCTTCGGGAGCGGCCAAGAGGGGGGTGTCCAAGAGGGGGGGGTGCAAATCATGACCGGCGGCATGTGCGCGGCCCAGCGGGGGGGCCTGGGACGTAATGAAATAAGAAGAGGCGCCATGAAATCTGAGGAAATCTCATGGCCCACGCCATGATATACACCCCCCCCTAGTCATCACCCCCCTCTTTTCCGCCCCCGATCCGTCAGCACATGTGGCCGGCGCCGGTGCAGCTCTGCGGGGAGGAGCCGGCCCTCCTGTCGAGGGCATTTGCGGTCAGGGCGAGAAAGAGGAGCCAGTGCCACAGCTCGTGGAACACCATGAACATGCCGTAGGTGACTGGCCTCGAGCGTATCCCCGTCCCTAAGACTGACAAGACCAAGTGCGATGACAAATCCCAGGGATGCGCCCTCGAGAACTAAGGGAATCCTTCGAATCGGCATCGAGGAGAGGCGATGACCGTCATAGAGAAGGGGATAGGTTCCAGGCTAGTACGAATGACTTTTCGAACTTCCAAGTCCCGTCCGTCTGCCTCCTGACTCCGCAAGGGTGTTGATCACGGTACCTGATGCCGATTGCGCAAGACAGCCAAGCGGCCCCGAAGGCGGCTATGAAGGGAAGAAGCTGCTGCCAGGGACGCCTCCACAAGGCAAACCACAGAACCGATGGGAACACAACGAAGACGCAGGTGCCCCGATCGAGCAAGCGCGTGAGGTTGTTCCATTTGTCTGGGCACAAAACTTCTGCGCCTGCCTGCGCCTCGCGGATCGCCCTCATGACCTAGCCGGCAGTCGTGCCGACAGCCTTGGCGGTCCTGTCGTAGCCGCCGCTCTCGTAGACGGCAGCGTGCACGCAGATCGAGTCGCAAAGAGTGCTGGTCACCGAGACGAGTCCCAACGAGAGCCCAGCCGCCCTGTCAGGCCAACCCTCGCAGAGGACCAAATGAATAGCGGCGGGGACTATAAAGCAGAACGAGCACGACAGCAGCATCCACTTGCTGCAGGGGCCATTCGCGACCTGCTCCCAGAACCCGCAGTCGGGCTCCGCCCCGGCCGAGAAGAGATGCTCGTCGATCGGCGAGAGGCAGATGTACATGTTCCGGCCAGTCACATCCCCGGGGCCCTTTAGCGTCCCCGGCTTGATCGGGCTGTAGCCGAGCAGCACCGCATCGCGACCGCTGCCAGCGGGCGTCGCCAGCATGGCGGGCGTCGCGCGACGGAGCAATGCGAGCTTAGGAAGGCACCAACTATACACCAACACCGATCCTGGCCCAGGATCAACCTGGGCCCAGGATCGGTGTATACGCCCTCCTGCCTTGCGCAAGAAGGCATACACACCGATCCTGGGCCCAGGGTGATCCTGGGCCAGGATCGGTGTTGGTGTATAGTTGGTGCCCTCCGACTTGAGCCAAAGTGGCAAAGGCTTCGATCCCCGCGTTGCGCCTGAGGCACGTGCCCCTTCAGAGGTCAGAATTGCCACCACACCGCAGGTGCGGAGTCTCGATGCCCACGTGGTGCGCCACGGCGCGTTCAGCACGACCCGCTGGCCCTTCGTGTGGGGCCACCAGGCTGCAGGACGAGGTTGCAGCTCCCAACACCAGCTGCAGTTTCCAGTCTCCAATCAGGGGGACGTAAGACCTGGGTACAGGAGACTCGGAAATCCCCGACGAGGTCGTCAAAAAAATGACGAGGCCGAGCCTGCATTTTGACGAGGCCTCCCGCTGCAGACATCCCACGAAACTCCTCCTCGTCAAAATCCGAGGTGCGGTCGTCAAAAAACGATGGCGAACCCGAGTCCTGGCAAACCCGGGTCTTACGCTCCCCCGATCCAATGTTACAGCCTGCGTTCTGCTTCCTGCTGTAAATTGTTGAAGTCCGCACGAAGGGGGGGGGGCCAAACCGGCAATTCATCACCCTCAAATCGCGTTGCCTGAATTCTCGGGGGGGGGGGCGTGGGATCAATAAAAAACGTGAGGTTCGCGCCCCTGAGGCCAGAACCCCTCGTAAACCATAACAAGTTCGCGTCCCCGGAGCCACAAACCCATGTAAATGATTCAAATCTTGAGCCTCCGAGGCAACAAACCCTTACAAATTACGCAGTAGTCGCGTCTCCGAAGCCATAACCCTTTGTGAATTGAATAAGTTTCGCGTCCCCGAGGCCACAAACCCTTGCAAATGGTGCCGTTCTTGCGTCCCCGAGGCAACACGCCCTCGTAAATTATGCAATAGTCGCGTCCCAAAAACCACAAACATTCGCAAATTACACCCCATTCGCATTTCCGAGGCCAAGAGTGCTCCAAGGCGCCCGAAGATGATTCCAAGACGGCCCAAGAGGGCCCCAAGAGGCCCCAAGAGCGCTCCAGGAGGCCTTCCGAGAGAGCCCCAAGAGGCCAGCATCGTCGATGTTACGAAAATGTTTGAAGGATGTTGGCCTTCTCGCATGTTCGCCTTTCCGACGCTCCAGGACGGCTCAGGAAGCTGCCAAGACCGCCCCAAAACAGCCCAAGACGCTTCCAAGAGGGCCCCAAGACGGCTCAAAAATGGGCCAAGAAGCGTTCCGAAAAGCCCCGAGAAGCCCCCAAAGGCCCCAAGAGGCCGCCAAGAGGCCGCAAGAGGCCACCAGAGGCGCCCAAGAGACCTCCAAGAGGCCCATAAGATACCCCACGAGGCCCCAAGAGGCCCCCAAGAGGCGCCAAACAGCCTCCAAGAGGCCCCCAAGTGGCTCCCACGACACCCCAACACATATGTAAGAGGCCTCAGACCCACAACCCAGGCACGATGGCGGGATGGGTCGAAGGCCACAAGGATAACGCCAACGCCTCAATATGCGCTGATGATTCCTATGCGCCCCCGCATGATGTTCCCAAATGTGCATAGGCAGCGCCGAAAAGTACCGACGCGCCTCTCCGTTATGATAGAATAGAAAAGGGGGCTGGCGGGAGGGGGCGAAGCCCTTACGGATAAAACAATAGAGTTGGAGCTACGATGCCCAAGGCCCTGCTGACGCCCGCGCCAAGGTGGCATCACCAGTCATCCAACTATAACATGTCGAAATATTCGAAGATCACGTCAAAAGAATACGAGTCGCCTTGAAACACGACTTGGGACTGTTACCGAGCCTCCCTGCGGCGCGCATGCTGGTTTCGCTATGGGAGCACAAGCAATCAGACAACGCATCTTCTTGATGCTTCGACGTGCGGTGAGCGAGTGAGTCGGAGCGTGATCAGAACAAATGTCTGGAGTTTCGATGTTTTTTTTTCCGATGGTTCCTCATCCTCCTCATCCTCCTCATCCTCGTGCACCTCCTCCCCCCCGTCCTCCACCTCCAACTCTATTTCCCCTTGGACATAGACTTCAACGACTATGCACCTACGCCTTCACTTCTGTCAACCTCCACCGCGGTGGCATTCTGGGAGTGGAAACTGTGAGGGCCTCCGATGTGGAATTCCATTTACTGTGGCCATCACAACCCAAAAGCAAACCAACAGGTTTCAAGAAACATTGACCCCCAGAGAAGTAAGCCAGCAACCACAACACATCTGGGCCGAACATGAGGGACAACAACAACGTGGCACAACACTACACTGACACATATACCCAAATCAACAACCTTACATGCGGCCACACATGGTGAATCAGCATGCGCGCGCACAGCACGGCGTGCGCGTGCCTGCACGGCACGGTACGCGGGCACGGCACGGCACGGCACGCGAGCGCGCACGGGCGCGCGGCGCACGGGCGGCGCAAACTGCGCTTCCTGAAGAAGGTAAGCGCGGCGCGGGCACGGCACAACGGGCACGGCGAAGCACGCAGGCGGCACCGAATCCGCATTCTGGATCGCGGGCTCTGCACGGCGCGCGGGCACGGTACAGCACGGCGCGCGGGCGGCACGGCAAGGCACGCGGCACACTCTTCGCCGTCGCAGTCGCTGGTACGGCGCGGCACGCGGGCACAGCCCGGCAGCGCACGCGGACATGGCACGCGGGCACGGCACGCGGGCACGGGACGACACGCGGGGAGGTCATTTGTCGCATTCGAGAGCGCGAGCATGGCACGGCAAGCGGACACGGCGCAGCACGGCATGCGTGCGGCAAGCTCTTGCATCATAGAGCTCAAACGTGTTCGTACCCGCCGGCCCCAACAAGTTGCGGGGCTGAGGTTTCCTGTGGCCTGCTCCAATTCCAGTTTCCAATATCCACTGGTACACTTATACGTTTTACTTCCGAGTGTAAGTTGTTGCTGTCTGCGCGAAAGGGAAGGGCCCGAAATAATAGTATTGCCTGAATTTCTTGTTGGTCGAATGAAAAAGCAAGGGTCATGGAGTTGTCCATGAGGTAATGAACTGAAACCATTCGGATAACGTTGGAGACGTATCGAAATATCTCGATGGCAAGCAAGATTAGCGACAAGAGACAAAAGAGACAAGACATGAAATGGAGAAATGAAACATCAGCGGATGCGGCCCTTACCCGACGCCCCTGTTCAATATTGTCTCGCGGGCGCGAGACGCGCAAATAGGGCGGCGCTGCCTCGAGCCAACGCAGCGCCGATAGGACATAGCGCTCGCAATACCATCCCCCCCTCAAGTCCGTCCTAAGTCGGGAGGAGAAGGGCCGAGCGCTAGATCCAGCCCCCAAATCAAGTATACCAAGTAATGGAGGAAAGTAGGGCGGTCGGTCTTCGACAACCCCAACAGCTGACAGTCAAGGCAAGAGAAGGACAGCGCAACGCATTAGGGCCAGTCGCGGGCAAGAGCACACGACCGATCACATATCATAATGGACAGTCATGGGCAATGTGACTGACCGCAGATAATTATGGATAATCACGGGGAAGGCCGCGTGATTACCCGAAGATAATTTGGGCGCGCCTGGCCACGCGCCAAACCTCAAAGCGCGCGGAGCAAAGGGGGTGCCCAACCAAATCTTCAGGCACCAAAAAAGGGTGGCCCGCATCCAAGCAAACAAGCACGCGCGGCCCGTGTCCGAGCTCAGATTGGCTGCAAGCAGCCAATTGCAGCCCGCATCCGAGCTTAGGTTGGCTATAAGTTGGCCAATCATCTACTGTACCCGCTAGCCCTAAAGAGGGCGTCAACAGGTTGATGCTGTCGCTTTCTTGCCTCGGCGGGGTACGTACTTCTTTGCCTCATATTTGAATGGGCGAATTACCTTCCTGAACTTGCAATAATATTCCACCACAGTAACAGCTTTGGGCATGGCCGCCGGCTGCCACGTCGCGCGCATCGCACCGCCGTGCGCTGTGAGCGACGCCTCGGTCCATCATCTGTCTTATCCGGCTGATATGTTCCAGCAGGGCACGCGCGGCTGGCTTCTTCGAGCCCTTACCTGAGATGGACTTGCAATCCGGCCCAGCGCCCATGGTGAGGATAGCCTTGATGCTGAGGCAACCTTACTCTAACAGGTTCTTAAGTTGCGCCGGCGTTATTGATCCAGCCTTGAGATCGCGCAGCGCCACAACGGTGGGATCGCAGTCATCCGCATTATGAACTGCCGCCAGTGTTTCAGCTAAGTAACCGGGGCGCGCCTCCAAGCGGCGCGACTTGCAGTCGGCGCCAATTGAGTGCGCGACTGCCTTGCTCGCGGCGCGCGCCCGCGCAGTGAAAGGCTGGCCCCGCGGACGCCATGCCCCCTACTTCGTCGTCTTCGTCGCAGTTGAGGCGGCGGTAGCCGAAGTCGCCACGAAGGTCCACTTCTCCTGCTGGAGCCATTAGAATATTTACGTTTGTCCTTGGGGCTCGTTGGGGCCTGCGCGCTGCATCGCTGAGCAACTGCCCTCGTAGGTCAGTTAGCCCCCGTGCGCGTTGCAAAGAAACTGCGCACGCCATCAAACGCACCTGTGTGATTAATGTGTGCGCTAACGCACCGCGTAACATACGAACATGTCCGAAGCTGTTCTCGCCGCCTGCGCATCCGCCACAGCGCCCGTGAGATCTGGGCACTGCAATGGGCGAAAGTGCTTGATATACGCACCCTGATCTACTTGGACGCGGCCGCCCCCGGTCTCAGCGTAGCGCGACGCGCAGTTAGTGCAGCCGCTTGTTCTTTGTTCATGCGCCGAACGCACTCTCTACACATTTGACAGACTTCTCTATCGCGTCCTCGACCCCTTCCATGCTTATATCGTCAGCGCGCTCGGCTGTTAGGCAGTTTGGGATCGCCTCCACTTCTTCGTCGCATGACG